ACAAGTAATGACCGTGAATAGTGTTGCGAAAGGACGAAAATATCCAGTTATCACACGAGAATTTATTTCCAGACGAAGCAGACGATAAAAATAGCAATTTAGAGTTTGACGCAATAAGCAGAACAGCTTTAAACCTCATGGCATAATGGTAGCTGAATGATTTGTAGGACAAGGCAGTGATGTACTTTAATCTTCAATGCACAGACTTTGTATTTGGCTTTGGGCTAAATTATCTTAACATAAGCTTTGTTTTTGCAGATTGTATTTGAATCAGCATCTGGAGTTTCAGGTAAACAAAAAAAAAGTTATCCATAAGTTTCATTAAAAACAATTGCGGTTAATTTTTTATGCGTTCTTATAACTTTCTTCTTTTCTGGGTGTAAATTATGTAGAATTTGTTCAAATGTTTTGTATGTCCAAGCGCTTTCATCTATACTTTTAGCCATTATCAATGATGAAGTTTATTTTTACTTTCAACTGAATGTATGGATTATTTTATGTATGTATCTAGAGTTATAAGAATGTTTTATTTTTCAAATACATTCTGGTCGTATTGGTAGTTGATATTAGAGAGTATTCGGTTTTTTTTTTTTTATTAATAATGCTTTCATTAATTTTAGCCGTTTTTTTTACATATGGATGAGGCTATTATATTTTTATTAACTACGAGTATATTGCGAATGGAGTTTGGTAGGTCGCCATACGTAATTAAATGTGATCTAATTGAGCTATTGTCAGAGAGATGCAACGTGAATCTTCTAGATAGGCATGTTGTAGTATATTCAATATAATTGTTTACGAATTTAGATTGCTCAAGAACACAGTTCCTTAAGGGACATGCAAATTCGTAAATAATATTGGTTCTCTGTGATTTTGATCTTGCAGTTGAGTTATTATTTTTGACAATGAGGTTAACAGTTTTAAAATTTTTAAGGTAATTTAGTTTTCTTGTTTTTGTCGATTGGAATTGTATATTTCTTTAGAATGTTTCAAAAAAAAAAAAAAAAAAAAAAAAGGCATTACTTTTGTCACATTCTGGGTGCATCAGTTATTTGAAAACAATTATTAATTTAAGGTAATGATTCTGCTATGTGTAATGTCCTTTCAGGACGCTGACGATCATGGCTCTCCACAACTTCCTGTCCCTTGTAGTTCTTAATAAATTTGTCTTTTGTATATCTCTTAAACTTCCACCATCCGTTTATTCTAGCTTGTTATGTAGCTAATGCGTTGTTTTCCCTTGACCCACTTGACTTCACGCTGTCTTGTGAGTGTCGTGCTTTCCAAGCCGTCTTTCCTTATGTACCCTAGAAATTTCAGCTGTCTCTTCCTGTTTTTGTCCCTATTTTCTCTAAAACTTCGCTGTTGCTCGCCTATTCGTTCCGTGGTAACCTCAGCACCCCCTTGGGGAACTTCAAGTGCTACATAACAGTCTTCTCCCCAGGTTTATTCAACCTCTACAGCGACGCTATCTTGAGGAAACTAGAGACCCTAACAGGATTTATTATCACGTGGGTGTAATCTTAACAACATAAGATACGCAGATAACAACGTTGACTCAGAAAGAAAACTCCTAGAAAGGGTAGTAGAGGAAAGCCAGAAAAAAAAGGTCAAAGGTCAGAAAGTATGTTCATCGGTAAAGGAAAAAAAGTCCAATGTGCAAGTTACAAATTGGAGATATCAACTCAAAGCAGATACAGAAGTTCAAATATCCGAAAAGCGTTTTAACAAAGGATGGAAAAATGCAACATTGAAATCTAAATACGCATTGAACTAGAAAAAAAAAGTTATTCGAAATGCTAAGCAAGGTGCTGAGAAACAGAAAGATTTCGTTAGAAACAAAGAAAAGCGTTCTGGAATGGTGACTTATTAAGACATGTTGCTTTTGGAACCGTGATATCTCACTCAATTTGAAAATTGGGGTTTGACATAATAAATAAGGATCATTTTTTTTCCCCAAATAGCCATTGTTTTTTGAGAAAATAAGTTTAAACACAGAGTTTAGGTTCAAAATCGTAACATTGGAATTTCATTCTGGTGACCAATGAATAGTAGAGACTTACAAAATTTATAATTTACTGAAGCTTTACAAATCGTATCTGGACAAGATGTATGGCATAAGGACATTATTACTAAATCATTGTGCCATCAAATAAGACCTACGTTTACTTCAAAGAGAAATTATACTCAACAATATAGCTATATGGTGTAGCTTTTACAGTTTTTACCTATCGAATACAATAAAATTAAGATCTCTCATGGCACGATTCGTATGAATCAGCTCACCGATTAATTGAGGCAATTGTTTATTTGTACTGAATCTTTAGAAAAGAAATAAAACAAATCCAATGCATTTATGAATAATAATTCTCTTTGCTTATTTCCAGATTGATTACAATGTTAACTTCTCAGAGAAAATAAAATTGACGTACCAATACAATAGAGTAGGTCGATTTTGGAAGAATGGTTTGTTAAACCCCCGACCTTTAAATGTCAAAATATGATACAAAATATTTTTTTCCAAAACATTAAACTCGTTTCTTCAAAAAATAGATAAAGATTAAGTTTAGGTTCAAAATCATAGCGTTGCAATTTCATTCCGGTAATCAGTGAAAGCTTTTATAACACAGCTTTATAAAATTTATAATTTACTGAAGCTTTACAAATCGTATCTGGACAAGATGCATGACAAGTACATAATTACTAAATCATTGTGCCATCAAATAAGACCTTCATTTACTTCAAAGAGAAATTATACTGAACAATTTATTTATATTATGATGTAATATATTATATAGGGCAGTAGTTTTAGTTCGATTTTCAATAAACTGCAAATTTAAAACATTTTATTTGTGTTCAGTAGTATTATAATATTATATACATTTTCATTTATTTTTTTTATTATTAATTGTGATATAACAAAATGATCTAACCAATCTTATTCATTGATTAACCTTTTTTTGTAATCTTTTACAGCTTTTACTTATCGAATGCAGCAAAAGAATTGCATATTTTGTTTGTGATTATTCATAATTCGATTTCTGGTTTGAATATGGTTTTCTATTTCCTGTATCTAATACAAAAATATCAATTTTATTTAGATTTCTTGAAATAGTCAAATTTTGAAGTCCGTTTCTAAGCAAAAACCTGTGGAAATTAGGAATTTCTATACATTTTTCAGACGATATTTAAAAAATAAATGCTCAGAAATCGGTAAAAGCTATGAAGCTAATTTTTGGTGTCAGTGCAACGTTGATTTTTAAAAACAAGGGAAAACTCTGGCTAGCCTAATGTGTGATCCATCCTGTGTGAATTCTGGACAATCTCCCCACAGATTAAGATGAAAACTAGATGCAGCAGAAATGTGGTTCTACAGAAGGATACTGGGAATTCCATCGACAGAGCGAGTAAGCAACAAGAAGTCTTAATGAAAATGGCAACAGAAAAAACACTTCACAGAATCAGGAAAAACAGCTTAAATTCCTTGGACACACAATGAGGAAAGAAGGGCTTTGAAAACTCTCATGGGGCATATTAAGGGGAAAAAAGACAAGGGAAAGTAGCAAGACACTTGCCTGATGAGGTTGTTTGAATGGATGGTCGAACGGAGGGCGGGAACATTAACAAAGGGAGAAAAGCTACTAAGAGCCACAAGGAATAGGAAGTTGTGGAGACCCATGATTGCTTTTGTATTGAAGGGACACAGCACATCGAAGATGAAGAATTACACACGTTCTTATATAGATTCACCAAATATAAGTATTTAATATACCCGCCATAAACTTCGTTTACGACCTTGATTCGACTTCTAAAACGAATACATGCGTTGATCAGGTGTTTTTATGACGTCATCGCTTGCAGACTTCAGAGAGTTCTTCGAGTTGCGGCATTGCTTCTTAGTTTCCCTTTCAACGATGCCCCAGACATAATAGTCTATAGAGGTTAAGGCTATGCCAAACCCTATATGTATGAAAGTTTCGGATTGGCCACAAAACCGTACAATCACGGCTCGTCTTCCTGCTACGTCAACGGAAGTTATGAAGCTCTTGGTCTCTTTTCCCTCTTCTGGCATCATATGCCGGATTTCTATGAAAGCAGAACTTTCAGCTTTCTATAAGTAAAAGACGTTCACAAAAAATGTGGGTATAGTTTCTGAATACAAAAAAAAAGTTATATTTGGACTATTCTTTCTTCAGAATTATCCGTAATGACCACAAACAAATTATTATACATCCATTTACACAAGCTCATCAAGTTGGTTGATTTTGTTTATCAGCATATCAACACCTCTATGGGTTATTTAATGCCGATATCTAAATATTTTGAATAGAATCTTATGTCTTCAACTTCAAATAAAATGTGTTGGTTAATTTTGCTAAAGAATGTATTGTTGGTAATTTTTTATATAATGTTTTTTTTTTGGTATAAAAATGTATTTTTATACTTTCATAGTTTTTTTTTGTATTTGCTTGTGAGTTCACTTTTTGCCTATAACTGGGACCCTAACAGGTGCTACCACACCGGATCAGGGTGAACCTAGGAACAGCAGCAGTTACCGATAAGAGGCCTAGATGCCAGAGCTCGTCAGGTAGCTAGCCCGCTACCCTCACTTTGTCTTCTATATGTCTCGTGAGTATCATATTCTCCAAACTCTCCTCATAACAAGAAATTTTCACTTCATTTTCCTTTTGACATCGTTGTTTACGCACTCAGGCTATGGTATTCTCAACATCCTTCTGTAGAATCACATTTCTGTTGCTTCCAGTTTTTCTCTTCATCTGTGATGAGATTGACATTACATAAGAAGACACCATTTTTCTTTGTTTCGTTTCTAACGAAGTTCTCCAGTTTCTTACATCAATGGAACCTCGGGTCATGGACGCTTCGTCACGAATAAATAAAGTCATGACAATACCATGTCTCACTTTAGAAACGTTTTAAAACCAACAAAATCAAATCACAATGAATAAATAGTTAGTGAGACAGAAAAACAGTAAGCTTCAAGTGATGAGAGGAGAAAGAAAAAGAAAGAAAAAGAGGAGAAAGAAAAAGAAAGAAAAAGAGGAGAAAGAAAAAGAAAGAAAAAGAGGAGAAAGAAAAAGAAAGAAAAAGAGGAGAAAGAAAAAGAAAGAAAAAGAGGAGAAAGAAAAAGAAAGAAAAAGAGGAGAAAGAAAAAGAAAGAAAAAGCGATTTTTTGTTTTGGTGACTTATCAAGCTTTTTTAAGATGATTTAAAGTATTTTTGAATTATAAAAATGTTTTGTAGATAATTTTCTGATACAAATCAGACTATTTACCCCATAGCTGAGGAGAGAGGGAGAGAAGAGGTGGATTCATACCTTTCCCCAAAAGCTATTTGCACGTAAGTGAATGTAATGAACCTGTCTGAAATTTGAATCCTGCTTTCAGATTTCTCTTTCTACCACCCACGCATCCAAGCTTAAAGCACCTGATATTTCCGAGCGGTCACCTATCTAGGTACTGATCAGTTTCGACGTTGCTTAACTTTGGTGATCGGATCAGAAGCGGTGTTTTAATCCATTAACCCCGAGAAGCCATAGTAATTAGAAAATAAAAAGAAAAGGAAACTGTGGAGAGCCATGAACTACACCCTGAAGGGATTTGGCAGTACATAAAATGAAAAACAAAAAAAAAACTGAAGTTTTCAGACAATCTTTCACGTTTATTCAGTTATTAGAGAACATTTAATGTTGAAGTTATAAAAATACGAGTTGCAGATAGTTAAAATTAGAAAAAAAATGCAGCCCCTCAACCAATGCTGGGGCAACAACCAAAGAACAGTGTTCAATGTTCTTCAGAGGCAGTGAGGCGTCCACCTATGATACCGCAGGCAAAAGACGAGAGGAGAGACATTATGAAACAAGCAGACATTGAAAAACCTTTTACGCCATAATCCATAATGCCGATCAAAATAATGGCACCTGAAATGAAGAATAGAGAGAGAGAGAATCAATTTTAGGAGGCAATTTAAGATCCATGGAGAGAATTTGTTTTTTTGGTGATTTTGGTATATGTATCTGTCTATATTTCTATAGGAGCAAGACCCAAAGAGTGCGAGTTCAATACCCGGTTAAGGCAGTGGAGAACTTGGAGAGGGGAATTAACAGGAGGTCATTGATATCCGTTAAAAAAATGGTACGTGGAACTAGAACAGTCTACCCCAGTGAGGGGAAATAAAGGGTTCAGTTAGACATTCCAATCACCTGAAGAAGACCGGAGTGAACGAGAAAGATAGAATAAAAAGGCAAAGAAAGATAGAAAAAAAAAGAAAAAAATTCTATTTGCATCTTTAAACTCTCTGGGAATTCATCATTTATAAAAAAAAAAAAATCCTTTCAGTGAGAATGGACATGATTCACTATTGGATTCTACACTTTCCTTACTTAGCAGTTTCATATGACATCTTTTTGAACCCTAAAGACAGGAAAGAAAAACAATTTCATACATACCTGCTGCAATGCAGTGAACTGCAGCTAACAATCTAGCCACTTCTGGGCGTAAGAGTTTTGTAAAATTTCCGATTAGAATTGTCAAAATGCCGCAAATTCCAGCAACCAAACCAAGAACCTGCAAACTCTGGAATGCCTTGAAAAAATCTAAAGAGAAAGATAAATTGAAAAGAGATTTTATATATACAGTAGAATCCCCGACAACCAGACTAAGGGTTTCCGGATATGAGGAATTGGTCGCAAAGTACGGATATGAGGGGTTATGTTTAGATTAAAATAAAAGAACTGAAATCATGTTTGACATTCATTTTCAATGTTTTATAATAAACAAAATAAGCTAATGGTGAGTGAAATATAACGGAATTGATTTTAAGGAAATAGAAAAAATTATGTAATGTTAATGAAAATTCATTAACTTAAGTATACCACGTATGCAAAACAAATGTAACGACGATTTTTTAATCGCTGTTGCATGATGATTCTTTCTCTTCTAATGTCATTCTCAACTTTTTCTGCATTTCGTTTTGCTTTTGTACTTGATTTTTTTAAACGAAAGACTAACTCTGGCTTTCTTTCCATAAAACTGACAACCATCTCAATAGCTTTTTCAATTTCAGTCCAGGTTTTAGTACAATCATTTTTTTTTTTTTTTTTTTTTTACTTCCTTGTTCATTGTGGACGGTGAAGAATAGTTTCTTTGGAAGATTTTATATCATACAATGTTGACTTTCTTATGTTGAACTCGGACATTAGTTGCAATAAACATTCACCAGCTTCTAGTCTGTTTAAAATTTCCACTTTTTGCAATAAGTCCAAAGTTGTTCTTTTCCTCTTATTCCCATCATCTTTTGCACCTATACAAGCCATTAGGGTGAAATAAGCATAAGCAATTATCCAAAGTAAATTTCCTGAAAAACAAAAATTTCAAGATCAGTTACATATCACCCAAATAGTTCAAATATGCACATCAAAATTATGTCCGGATAAGGATTCTACTATATATATATATATATATATATATATATATATATAAAATATAGTAAAATTATTTATTTAAAAATATGATTCCAACTCGCGACATAAGAGGTCTCATGTTTCAAAACAAGAGCCGAAAACTTCAATATAATTATTTGAATTAAATTGAGTTAAAGTAAGCTCTCTTCCATCTTCAAGTGAATTTTTTTTTTTTTTGGAATAACTTATTTCTGAAATTTACGTGTTTTAATAGTATATTCATAAGTGAAATCAAAATTTCCATGGTAACAGCTAGGGCGAATTGTTTAAAAAGTATTAGGGGTGTGTTGGGTGTTAATAAGTATCAGTATAGAGTTACTTTCATAGATGTCAAGTCAGCGTAAGGTGGTGGTTTCTAAATTTGAAACGGAAGATGTTTTCGCCTAGTCTGGTTTACGTGTCTATGGAGATTTATTTATTTTATTTCTTTATGAAAGGGATTTGTGCATATAAAAACTGCCGTAACATTTGTTTTTAGATGACTTCATAAAGGGTTATCTTTTTTTGTAGAGTATTTAAACTATTTATTTGGGTTATGGATTATAAAAGTTATTATATTGTATGCTTGTTTTTAGCTAATTATTCAGTGCATAAATTTGATGATGTCGGCAAAAAACCGTTGTCATGTCTATTGTTTAATAGGTTTTTATTATTTAGAAATGCAGTTTCTCATGGACGCACAAAGTGCATGGGTCATCCCATTTTTAAAAAATAACAAAAATACTAAGGAACTTTGGATTATTTACCTAACCAGTTCTTTCCTATATATATATATATATATATATATATATATATATCCTGAACTTCAGTTCATAATCGAGGTTTAGGCCTACAATTTTTAACCCAACAGTATAACGTAACCTTTGAACTGAATAATAAAATCAAAAGGTGTTTTTTTTTTTTTGTTTTTTTTACCTATTACTGTATTACTCTGTTGGCAATGTTTTTGTTTTTTGTTTTTTTTAAAAACTGTTTCGATTTTTAATAACGACAAAAATGTTAGACACTATTTACTTGTTTATATTACAAGATAAAAATTCTAACTTAAATGTCACACCACGTGCAGACTTGGAGAGGGCTAATTGGGTGACCGGCCGAAGACTAAAAGAGACATCTGGTTCAGCTTAGAAAACAGCAATGATAATTTTGAAGAAATACCTTTGAGTTCCACGATTCACTTCTTGGAAATTGTTTAAAACTTTAAGCGAGGAATATCTGTAAAATGAATAATAAACGACAGAAAATCCACCTATTCAGAACCTGGACGTGATGTAAAACATCTTCCATTACCAATAAGAGTGAACTTTAAAGGAAAAAAAAAGACTACTGATAAGTTTTATTTTAATTCTAATATACAATACACATTCGTGGTGTGTACCAACAGTTAAGTACTGACGAAGCATATTTCTGGTTTTATAGATTTCCCCATGATCATACCAAAGTGATGTCAGAGTTATTACAAAATATATATTTCAAGGGGACTAACTCAATTCAGACCAGACTTTAAATTTAGAGTTATTGCCCTTGTTGGGCTTATTAAATTTAGTTCCTGAAAAGTCAACAAGTACTACGTCCCATCAGGTCAGAGACAATTACGGTTCTTCACAGCTTCCAATTATTAAAACGGCATTGTCACGATTTTTCTTTAGAGAAATCGTTTCTTTTTTCAATCGTGAAGTTAAAATTCAAACAAATCAGATTTTTTTCTCCTTTGCTTATTGGCAATCAAGGCTAGACGACTCACTCTGCTCTACGATTTAACCTTTAGCTAAAGGGAAAAATGGTTTGATTCGATATTTTCTTAAGGGTATAAGTGTGAACGTGGACACAAACTGGTTCAACTTTCAACTTTGGGAACAAATTCCATTTTCACCGCTGTGGCTTCTTAATGTCTAGTTCGGAAATGATTGACACCCACCCCCACGCTACTGCGCATGAGAAAAAAAATCTACCCTTCTTTTAACTCAATGAGAACCAGTTAAGAGCTGTTAATTGTGGCATACCAGTGACAAAACATTTTATGAAGATAGAAGCAGAGCAGAGAGAGAGGGGTGGATTTCCCAGTGGTATCATTACTAAACGAATGAGTAATTTGAAATTATATTGTAATAGTCAAGAGTAACAATCTTGTTAATCATCACCTAGCGCCTTCCCAAACTCATGCCTGAGGGAAGCTAACTTTGGTCAAAATGGAAGAACGAAAACAGTTACTTCCCCCTCCAACAACGCTTTTAAGATAAAAGACTAAAAAGCTGAAAGGCAGTAAAAAAAAGCAAGAAGAAGGGACTAAATACTAAATGGAAGAGACAGAATGATTGTAGGCAAAAGAAATAGGCGAAAAGTGCCAGATAGAATTATTGGTTAAGAAAAAAGAAGAAAAAAAAACGGAATTAATATTGTTATTTATTTTTACTTATAATTTTATTTCTGAAAAAAATAAATAAATAAAATAAACTCATCACAAGTCGCAAAACATTTATTTCGTACATCGAAATATTCACTAAAAACAAAATTAGCATAAATGATAATAAAAAAGAAAAAAAAACACCAAAATCTTATTGTCAAACTCAACTTATTAAGACGAAAGAAATTTGTTTTTACTATTAAATTATAATCCTTTTCAGAAACTTCGAAATTTTGGTTAAAATTTGTTTTTCTTGCATCAGCGGGTTTTAGCTTTCTATACATCTATTTCATCAATGTCGATTTTCGTGCAAAAAGCGGATCACAGCTTCATACATGTTTCTGAAAACCTTAACTTCTCATTGGACAATAAATATTAAGATTATCTTCACGTACATTGTTCTCAATAAGCAACACAGAACATATCAGGCTCCAGACTGAGTTTTTGTAAACACGCTTTCTGAGTGGCTAACAAATATTAAAAAAACAAAAAAAAAAAACCAACCTGCTCACCATTACGTCCGAATAACATCATCCTTTGTTTGACCTGACGAAAAACAATGCTTCCAGGATCCTGTCACGTGATTAACATAAATTGAAGGTACGAGCGAACCCAGTCAGTGAGAATTTACGACGACTAGAATTTGCTAAACATGTTCACGACGCTTGTATCATTACTGCAGCGAAGCACAAAGTTAGAATCTCAAGTTTTTAACACGAAATAACTTTGAAATTCAAGCTCTTTTTTTTTTTTTTTTTTTGCAACTTACTAAAACTTATTCGATTACGTTATTGAATCTTACTAAAAACTTAAGTACAAACAATTACGAACAATACTTTTTCAACTACGAGCAACGAAAACAAATTAGACATTACGGAACATTCACTTCTCCAACTTCTTTGAAGCTAAAAGTTTATCAACATATTTTCAGCTTTACAAGATTCCTTGAACTCTCTTTCAGTGAACATTTTGAGCGACAAGATAATTCAGCTTTTTGTGAGCTCAGGTAAAAAAATATTTTAGTAGAAAAACTTTAGCCCAGTCAAAGGGAAGTAACTCATTAATAGTTATTGTAAAACTGTTGTCATTTATAAATATGAATATTGTACCTGTTATGAAGTTATTTTCTTGTGTTCTTTCTTACATTCGTAAAGTAAAAAAAAATGTGCGGTTGATTTATGCCGTCAATACTGCTACAGGTGACTAAATTATTATGGGGGAAAGAGAAAGAGAAAAGGAAAGAGAAAGAGAAAAGGAAAGAGAAAGAGAAAAGAAAAGAGAAAAGGAAAGAGAAAAGGAAAGAGAAAAGGAAAGAGAAAGAGAAAGGAAAGAAAAGAAAAGAGAAAGAGAAAAGAAAAGAGAAAGAGAAAAGGAAAGAAAAAGGAAAGAGAAAGAGAAAAGGAAAGAAAAAAAAAAAAAGAGGGAAAAAAGAAAAATTATGGCTCACAATGTTTAAAAGAAAATGATTTAATGAATGATTATCCTGAATATGTTGTTCCATCTACCATTGAACAAAAAAACTAAGTTCAATGAAGTTAAGAAATATGGTTCCTTTACGCAAGACTTTCCGTAAGTCAAACATACGCCGACAGAATTTCTAATTCATTCAAATGTGTGTTTCAATGTCATAATGGTCCGGAGAATTTTTTTCTCAACCAAAAGAGGCTTTCTCCTCATGTTGTTATCTTGCCTGCCAATCAACAAAGTTTAGATTTATATCAATATAGATGTCGATGCGAGATCTACTATGTGGGCAAGACCATCTAAAGCAAGGGTCGACAACCTACGGCCCGCTGATTACCAATGACTATTTTAACATTAGACGACATTCAAATGAAATTTGTTATATGTCATTTTCCATAGAATGTCTAATCTCAGTGCACTAAAAAATTAGACTATCTGCCAATCTTTCATGAGACTTATTTTACCAAGTTTTGCCTACGTTTAATGTCAAATAATGGATACATATTTGTTATGACCCTTACATTAAAAGATAACGGAAGCAAAAAGGAACGATAAAGTGAAAGAGGCCAGGGAGGGACTGACATGCGAGGTAGCAGCAATCTAAAGACAGTTAAACATACGCGCATTATACATACATGCCTGAATGTGTGATGATACCGTATGTGTACGTACGTAAGTGTATATGTTTGCAACTATTTGTACTCATATGTAATATGTGCTTCGTTTTAGTTTGATGTGTGTGTGTGTGTGTGCGTGTGTGTGTGGTTCGTTTGTGGAACAATTTTCAATAAGTTTCAAACTTACACGTCATAATTTCATTCATTTCACTTCGGTTGATTTTTTTCATTTTGAAGTATTTTGACGTTCCTTGAGGAAAAGTTTTTTGTTAGGTGTTTTTTCATTTTAGATTTTTCTTTTATTTTTCTGATTTCTCAATGTTTATTTTCATTATGGTTTTTAAATATTTAAACAGGGGTCTGCATATGTAATTTTCCTTAATTTTTCATTAATGGCCTTCGTCCGGCCCGCGACCCGTCATTATAACACGATCCGGCCCGCGGGGGGTGGAATGAGTTGCCGACCCCTGATCTAAAGTTTACAGGTTAGGGTCGCCCAGCATGTCCTGGGCCAGATGCGTCGACACGAGCCTGTTACATCCTGGTGTTCGCAGACTCATTGACTTTGCTATCGGTGAGCACACTTATTAAATTCTGTTGCTTGCAGGACCAATTATTCTCCTGGAGTTCTTTTTCTGTCTTGCACAGGACGCGGACCAGACTCCATTTAGATATTCTTGAGCCTGTTATTAATATACATCGTCCTGCCCTGTGTAGGCAACGGGAGTTGTAACAAGTTGGTTGGCCTTAATCGGGGAATCAGTCACCTAACTGGGAAGAATATTCATTTTTTACCCTATTCCCTTCGCCTCTAGTTCGGTAATTTGCATCTTAGTAGAAGTTGTTGTTAAACAAATATTTCTTATCAACTACTTTGTTTTATTCTGCAGACGATTATATTCAAGAAGAGTCGGCCTAAAGACGCCTTAAAATTTTAAAGGTGGGATAATTTCGTATCCTATTTTAATAATAAATCATGATCCCTGTCCTTAAATATATAATTATTTAAAAATGTGATTCCATCGCTACATAAGAGTTCTTATATTTCAAGAGCCGAAAACTTCAATATAATTATTTGAATTGAATTAAAGTACCAAGCTCTGTACTTCAATTCAAATAATTATACTACTTTTGTATCGAGCACTGTTTTTCTTTTTCTTTTTTAAATAATAAAAAAATACTAAAGAACTTTGGATTAATTTATCTAACGAGTTCTTTCCTATTTCCTATATATTTTCACACACACACATATATACATATATATATATATATATATTCTGGTTTTAAATAGCCTGCAAAGAGTTGGTAAGCCATAGAAAATGAATATCATTAACGTTTACTGAATTTAGTGCACCATTTTATTAACGAGTATTGTTACGTGATTCGTTTAGGGGAGATTTAAAAAGTAAAGAAAAAAAAAAAAGGAAATTGATAGCTATGATCGCCTTCATCCTGAAGGGACACGGAACATAAATGTAAACAATAATCAATGCATTATTTAAATTAGCCGTAAATAATCAACTGTCTTTATTTAAATCTTACATTATTGCCAACTAAAACAGGTTTTACTTTTTACATAAGTAGCGAAGTAATCGTTCTAAGTAACGCTGTTAATCGAAATAAGTGTTGCATAATTTGTTGTCTTTAATAATTTTTTTTTTTTTTTTTTTTTTTTTTAACCCATCAAGCATCTTTTTTTTTTTTTTTACTGTAAAAAATAAATCACGATAGATGAACAAATAAGAAATCCTAGATCACGTAATTTATCATTATTTGTAAGAAAGATAAACAATTCGACAGCTGCTTATTTAAAAAAAAAAAAAAAAAAAAGAAAATGGTTCATTGTTTTTCCTAAATCTAAATTTATATCAACTGCATGTTTATGTGTTTCTGCGCATGACTACAAAAACGGAATGTAGTCACAAGGCTATGTTGAAGTTTTAGTCCAACTCATAGTCGGTGCAAGGGTCTTCTTGTATAATTACAATTATATTCGTATAATCTAATTAGGTAAACTTAGAAGCAAATAAATTTAACAAGTCTATTTTGATTATGAGACAAAGCGATTTTTTAATTCAAAAAGTGAAATCCATAAATCCATTCTGACGGGTCATAACTAAAAGTTACAAATTAATATCATGTGCGACACAAATTTAAAATTTATGGAAAAAAAATGTTTAATATAAAAAAGTTAAAATTTGTACGGGAACAACGTAACAGAAAGATTTTTTTTTCTTTTTTAAGCCCTCGCTTTTTGAAAATCAAATTTATTTAGAAACCGGCGAGAACGCACCTTTCAACCGGATACTAAAGAAAGGAGCTAAACCCCCGAAACCACCGATCAGGGGGGTGGGGCGCGTTTTTGTTGTAGCCTTTTTTTTTTTTTTTTTTTTTTTATTCTTAAACTGACGTCAGTCATTAACTAATAATTTGTGAATATCTGCATGGCCGGTGCGTACTACGCCGGACACCCCCCCCCCCCAAATCACACACCGGACGAGGTTAAGGCCCCCAAAAGGCTAGTTTCAGCACAGTTTTTTTTTTGTACTTTTTACTACCAAGTTATATCATCAATCATCAAGTACAATAATCGACAGGGTCGTTGTTTACTACCCTGAACCACTCAACCACGGGTGAGGCACCCTATGCCTATTGGGTAGAAGGGGAGGGTGTAGAAATGCAAATTTCAGTAGCGCTTATTATTGTTTTTAAATTGTAATTTTCTTTTAAATCAATCCAGACATTTATTTAGCTGTGAATAGAGGAAACCGTGAGTTTTTTGGGGGGAGGGGGTGCAAATGCATGACAAAACCATGTGAAAGAGGCGCTAGTAAGAAACGCTAAACCATATATCAATGTAGATGTAAATTGTGGATTATTTCAATCGTCAAGCGTTTACGGAAAAGTTCTACCCATATAAAAGCCACATAGTTTTTCCGTCAAACGATCGGCAAAACAATAAATCCATCAAGTCCTGGTCATGCATTTAGCATCAATTTTGGGGATTTTTTTAAAGAAAATTTTGTTTATCGGGGATGTTTTTTCATGTGTTGTGTTGAAGTTTTTTTTTTTTTTTTTGGGTGGCGATTAATCTTTAGGGAAATCTAAAAATTTGCGACTTAAACGTTTAAAAACGAGTAAAATTTAGTCATGAAAATATTGGCAGTTATTACAAACACATTTTTTTAAATTTCTAAAATAAAATAAAAAAAATGTTATAAAAGTAAATAAATAATGAATACGTACTGAAATTTTCATTTAAATTTGATAATGCTCTGATTTTTGGTAACTTTTTTTAAAAAAAAGCGCTGACCCCACTAGTTTTCCTTCGAGCGTTTGTGGCCCCCAGGTTAGGAAATTAGTGCCGGCCCTGGACGTTGTTTAGAGGGGCCGCCAATTCTACGGCTGCCCTTGGCAACAACACAAAATCTACGTACGACAACGAAGAAAAGGCTAACATTACATTTGTTGAACTTTTAAAGAAACACTGGCGCTAACAAACTGACCCAGGATTGGGACGGTAACAGAAAAGTTTGAACTTGCCTTGTTCATTCTTTAGAGAGGTACATTTATCCTTTATACAGATGTTCCACAATCCAGAATGAAATATAGAGTTGGATATCCAATAAGGAATTGCGATTGACAAGAGTTGCAGGAACACAGCAAGCGAAAGCAATACAAGCGTCAGTGGATTCATGATTGCCTTGAAGAATACGCCCAACGCGACACACTGAAATCTAATATGTTGCTACTGCCGCTTCGATTGGACTTTGACTTTTTTATCAACTCGCAAATTATTTTTAAATACACCTATACGCGTGCGCACATGCGTCCTGATCAGGCAACTGCTACAGAGCAAATATTTTAATTAAACCTTACATTTTTAAGGATGAAATCTTAAATCCTAAAACGGACTGTTGCTATCTAATGTTTATATATATATATATATATATATATATATATATATATATATATATATATATATATATACCACAGACCACTTTAAGGTTCCATGTAATAAATTATATATATATTACCAATTTGTGACTGATAGAGATAATTGCAAGGAAGATATTAATCGAAGGACAACTCAATGTAGACTATTCTAGCCTATTATTTTTACGAATAGTGCTCGATTCATTTTAATGAAGGACTGAAGATTGTGTTCTAAAATGAAACAGACTGTCACCACTCGTTGTTGACCTCAGGGTCCATCCTTATATTTACACGTGCCCACACACACACACACTATCCCTGACATTGAGCAATTTTACCTATAAAAATAGAATACCTTAAAACTATATTTTTATCACCTCCCGTCGAATTCGATGTATGAGGGTCAAGCAGATCAGTTCCCAGGAAACTGACAGCCCGACAACAGCACATGAGATTTGATTGTAGTGGTGAAGGTTTCGTGCAGGACCATCCACACTTTTTGAAGAGTCGAATACAGAGACCTGGTACACTACGTGCCACAAGGTCCCCAAACGACCATCCGCAGTTTTTGAATTCAGAGTTGCCATCCAAGGCTGTAGAACCCAGTCTGCCCTGCAATTTACCCATAGCTGGAGAAAGAAGAGGATTCACACCTTCCATCAGGGTATTAGCAAGTAAGTGAATGTAATGGATTCGACTGGAATTCGAACTCAGAAAAAAGGAGAAACAGGTATGTTCAGTGTTTTGATAAGTGGGTGTAATGGTTAACGAGCGTCGGATTCTAATTCAGATCGAGATCATTGCTCTATCTTTTGCACAAATGGAAAGGTATGAAGCCATCTATTTTTTTAATTATGTAGCAGCAAGGCGGAAATGCCACTGCTAAGCAGGGGGTTACAGAGAGTGAATGTGAGGGAAAGGATCTGTTCACCTCTCTACAACTATAGACTAAATAGCAGGGTGGATTGGACTATCTCAATGTGGTTGGCAACCAGCATAGGAGAAAGACAAATCTGAATTCAAAACTATATGTGTCCCACAGTTGGAACAGCTCAGATACTGTTGATGAAGGGTTGCGAGGATAATTTAAATCAATTCAGCGTTTTATTGGCGAGGTAATAACAATACTTACTTATGATTCTGTTGATTCTTTGGTTCTTTCTTTGTTTCTCCCAGCTATGGGTTAAATAGTAAAATAGAAGTGACTCTATAACCGTGAATAGCAACTAGTATAGAACGAGAACAATTCTGTATCCAAACTTTCCGCTATGATGCCTAGACATTATGAATTTAAGTGCAGTACTAGATTGGTGGCAAGGTCTCATCATTTTACAGTTGAAATGGCTAGATGTAACCGTAGGTTCTATGCTAACAGTTTCTTCTATCGCACTTCTTGCTTGTGGAACTCTCTTCCAGCTTCTTACTTTCCAATCAAGTTTGATCTTCACAAATGTCAATCGAAACCTTCTGTCTTCTTAATTTCTGTTCTTTTATTGTCATTAATAGTAGTTTTTCTCACACTCAGTATCCCCTTGCAGACTAGTGGCTTTATTGCCTTGCTTGGGGTGAAATGATTAAAAAAACATTTAAAACCCTTACGGGGGACATATTTGAAGTGTAACTAAATTCTACTCAGTATAATTGAAGTATCAACCACAGGTTGGGACTGTGGTTATTGAAGAAACACAGATGGGTCTAAATAGACGGGCAGGGTTGAAACGAGAAGGGGATAACTCAGACTGATTTGCAATGTGCCTTCAAGTCGAAACAACTCTGATGACGAATGAAGTTTTTTTTCTTTTTATAATGATGTTCACGCTGTACAAGGTTCACGAGCTACTCTAGGTATCTTCAAAAATTTAAATGCAATAGCAGTTGTTATCTTCTGTCTCCCGAATCTTTTATTGTTCTCACACATTAATAGTAGTTTTTCTCATATTCTCCAACACTCTGTAACTCTTTGCGTGCCAGTGACTTTAATGCCTTGCTTGGGGTGAAATGATAAAAAAATGAAGATTTGAAACATGATACAATTAAGATTAAACAGCGAAAAAACTTAGGGAATCTAATTAAGTGTCGAAGAGAATAAGCAAAGAAAGAATTAATTAAAATAATAATTAGAAGCCATAAAATGAATTTACAGATGTCTCCGGGAAGATTGGAAACTGAACTAAACCAAGGAGAGTTCATTAATTTAAGCATCTTACATTTCAGGCTCTTTTTTCAGAGAAGCAATATGGCTTTCACTTCTCTAAGTCAACAGTTGATGCGTTAACGGTTATTGCTATAAGAGTCTATCAAGCTTTAGATAAGAATGGTGAAGTTCTGATTTGGTTTGGATATTTCGAAGGCATTTGACAAGGTTTGGTATGCTGGTCTTCTTCATAAGTTGAAAGGTTATGGTATTTCTGGAAGAATTTAGGAAATAATTCAGTCTTTCTTTTCAAATCGCGAAATGAAAGTTGTCTTGAATGGTCACTTTTCTAGATCTTTTTGCATAAATGCAGGTGTCTATCTTTGGACCTACGGTGTATATAATTTACATGAATAAAGTAAGGATAGATATTTCCCAACCTACCCAGGTGATCCCGGGCAATATAATAAAAATGTATGGCCTTCTGAAATTTCCCTAAAACTAAGGAAACAATATTGCTATTTTTATATGACGTATTAATAATCCTCAACTGTTCACATTGTTACAAAAAATGTCAGACTAGGGGTTGGGCCCGGCTCCATTCTAATCAGAGCCATATATTATCGGAAAAGGAAGCTCTTGAATATCTTATTGAAAAACATTGAAATAAATCAATGTCAGGAGTGCACAAAACTCATTATATAAACGAGATGGGTGACAGGCTGTTACGTTGCAACACAGAACAGACACCAGGTTTATTGAGAGGGTGCAGTTTCTTTGCGTCAAAGGCTTGTGGTTTAAAAATTTAAATGCAATGGCAACCGTTATCTTCTGTTTTCTTAATTCTTGTTTTTTTTTTTTTTATTGCCCCCCTCTCCTTAATAGCAGTTTTTTCTCATATTCTCTAACACTCAGTAACCCCTTGCAGACTAGTGGCTTTATTGCCTTGCTTGGGGTATAATGATTAAAAAATCGTTTAAAACCCTGGCGGGGCACATATTTGAAGTATAACTAAATTCTGCCCAGTATAATTGAAGTATCAACCACAGGCTGGTTCTGTGGGCGTTGAGGAAACACAGATGGGTCTAAATAGACGGGCAGGGTTGAAACGAGAAGGGGGTAACTCAGACTGGTTTGCAATGTGCCTTCAAGTCGAAACAACTCTGATGACGAATGAAGTTTTTTTTCTTTTTATAATGATGTTTACACTGTACAAGGTTCAAGAGCCACTCAAGGTAGACGGTTACAGATAAAGAGGCACCACCCCAAGCAAGGCGACAATAGCAAGATAAATGGGCAGCCGCAAGGGAAAAGAAGGAAAAGATTTTACAGGGAAACAGAAACCTAATCCTAAACAACAAATAGGGGATGAACCTTTACTTCTGTTCTAAAGACCGGGGAGGAGTGTGAACCGGGTGATAGGCAAACCTATCTACTCTTGTTGAGGAAAAGAAAGTGAAAATAAATAGTAGATAAAAGTAGCGTTTTAGGCAGAGATGTTTGAAGTAGACTGTAGCAGGAACTGGAAACCAAATCCTAAACAGGAAACAAGGAATGGTCCTCTACTCCTGTTTCCTTCCTTGAACTTTTACTACCCCTCACAGACAAATTGTATATATGAGGATTAGTTAATTCATTATTATTTATCCTTCCCTGAATCTAGTAAATGTTTACGGATTCAGATATCGTATCTTTTTTTAGCCTTAGTATAGTCTCCATCGGAGAAAGACATCTTTGAATTCATAAACCGCATATGTACCTACATATCTGAACTGTAACTAAGGTATGCTCATAGTTACAGTGTAAAGCACGGGTTGGCTCTGTGAGTGTTTAAGAAACACAAATGGGTCTAAGCAGATGAGCGAACTGGGAAACAATCAGCCATGTTTCAAATTGAAAAATCACTGTGATTTGCAGTGTGCTTTCAAGTCGAAACGTCACGTTCTGTGTCGTCTATGGCTCCTCACGCTACTACACGAAACCGTATCAATGAAAAGGACCATTTCTTTTTGTTATTTGTTTTATTAGGAGAGAGTGGTGGAAGCTTGGATTCTAAAAGCGGTAAGAGGAATGACGTCACAGGAACACATATCGCACGTTGGCTCAGCGTCCTCCGTGGGAGACATGTCGATGCTTCAGAATTCCTGAGTTCTTCCGTTGAATTTGCGCTGTTTTAGTCTTTCATTCAAAACCCAGACAAAGACAATCCATCACATAGGCATTTGATCCATTATTGTAGATAATTAGGCTAGAATAAAATTTGTATTTTATATGAATAGTACCTTATGAAAATTGACACATAATAGAATGGGGACTGTAGCAGAGATTCTTAGAGGGGGACACTAGACCCTTGCATCGGCCCTGGTTACCGTTCATACTGCAAAAGCCGCTATGTCATTGAATGCATAATACGATGCAACTGAAAATGCTGTTTGAGTTCAGACTTATGTAATGCTTAGAAAGCTAAAATTATGCCATGCTTATCTGAATATATTTTTTGTTTAAGTTTCAGATACCGTTTTGTTCATGAAAATTGTTTCCTATTTTTACTTAGTTTGTATTTCATAGGTTTCCGTCACTGTCAGAATGCCCGGCCCACGAGGCACTCCGACCAATCGTTGAGCATT